ATCAAATTGTCTTCCAATAAAAATTTAATTTATCAAATTGCCACCAAAGTAATATGAAAATTTATTAAATGAACATTTAATTCATCAAATCAACACTAAATTAACATTCAATTTAACAAATTAACATCCAATTTATCTAATAAAAATTTAATTCATCAAATTTAACATTCAAATTCAACTATTTAACATTAAATTCGTCAAATTAGGATTCAATTTTATCTAATTAATATTCAATCTATCCAATTAACACAAAATTAACATTCAATTCATTAAATTAACACAAAATTAATATTTTATTCATAAAATTCACATTCAATTTCATTTAATAAATATTTAATCCATCAAATTAACCTAAAATTCAATTTCATCCAATAAATATTCAACTCATAAAATTAACACTAAATTAATATTCAATTTATCTGATTTATATTCAAAATCATCCGATTAACACCAAATTCATCAAGTTAACATCCAAAATTATTCAATTAAAATTTAATTTCTCAAATCAACACCAAAGGAATTTATTGATTCATAGAATAAAATTTAATTCATCAAATCAATATCAAACTAATATTCAATTCAATAAATTAACATTTTATTTCATCTAATAAAAATTTCATTCATCAAATTAACATTTAAATTCAACTATTTAATATTAATTTCATCAAATTAATATTTAATTCATTAATTCATACCAAATTAACATTCAAGTCATCAAATGGAGGATTATCACCATGTTTTTCTCAACACTTTTAGAAGAAGAACTAGAGAGAAAAAAAAAACTCAGAAACTAAACAAATGATATGTATGGGTAAAAGGAGGGAAGGAAGGCAAGAAAAGTGATTTGGGTGGGAAAAGAAGGAAGCAAGGGTGGAGAGATAAGGTTATTGTGGACCACATATGACTAAAATAAATAAATAAATAATTAGATATTAGTGTAATTTGAAAATAAATAATTTTTGAAAAGAAATGAAATAGTGATATTAATGTAATTTGAATATACATAACTTATGTTAAAAACTTAAGCATGAACAATCATATTAAATTTAAGCACCTCCAATGTAGAGTCTTAATGTAATTAAAATAACAATTTATGTTTGATTGTATTGATCGGCTTGGAGCACGATCCATCATGATCATGATTTGGGGCATGATTTGAGTGAGTATTTGGCCAGTTGTGATTTGGGGTAATTTGGGGTTTTTCGTTGAGTTCTTCCTTACGGTTTGAGTTCTTCAAATGTGAAAAAATGATTGAATTAATTCAACAATGAAGAGTAGAAGGTAGGGTTTGGTTCCAACCAATTGATTTATGTGCAAGTTTGGGTTGAGTTTGTTTGAAATAGAAGCACCTCAATACTTATAACCATCATAATTTGTTAAGGTTAATAGTTTTAATTTTGATTTTTTGGATGAACATAAAATTTTTGATGGTTAGAGGAAAAAAGTGTAATCAAGCATTGTTAAACTATGAGGGTAAACTCACAAAAATCATACTTGGAGGGTGAAAGTGTAATTAACAAGTGTTAAATTATGACCGGTCGCAACTAGTTACGGTCGGTCCTAATATCTTGAGCCAAACTCTCAAAAATATAATTAGTCATTGTTATATTACGACCAATTGCCACTAGGTACGATCGGTCCTAATCATACTTTGAGAGGATAAAAATGTAATTAACTATTGGGTCACGATAGATCCTTATTTTTTTGGGTTTTTTTCAAAGTTAAAGAATAAAAATGTTATTAACCCATTTATTAAATGATAAAAGTGTTACTAACCCATTTGTTATAGGGTTAATTATTTGTTATGAATTAATATAATCTACAATGATTAAATTAATCATGGATCATAGGGTGTCAGTGAATGCCATTCACATACATTCTCAAGTTATGACTATTGTGGTGTCATTTTTAGGGTCTCCTCCAGTTTATGTGTCATTGGTGTATGCAAGTTGTGAATATTTGGTGAGGAGAAGTTTGTGGGATCATTTATTTGTAATTGTTGAACCGACTTGGCCATGGTTAGTGGTGGGCGATTTCAATGTAATTGTTTCTTCAGATGAAAGACTTGGAGGGAGACATCCAAGGTTGGCAGAAATGGAGGATTTTTCCTTTTTTATCCAGAAAAATGGTCTTATTGATTGTGGTTTCTCAGGAAGCTCCTTTACATGGTGTAACAATCAACAAGGTCAATCTAGAATTTGGTCTCGCTCGGATAGAGCTTTAAGGACACTTGCTTGGAATCTGCGATTTGCTTCAACAGAGGTTTCTCATTTACCTAGAGATGAGTTTGATCATGCCCCACTTTTGATTAAAACATGTGAAGTCTTGAATTCTGTTGTGCCATCATACTTTAAGTTTCAAGATATGTGGACAGAACATCCATTATTCTTAGAAGTGGTGGGGTGTAGTTGGAAAGGTATTTATTCCAACAATCCAATTGAGAATTTCTTACAAAAATTGAAAAACGTGAAAGTTAATTTGAGGAAATGGAATTGGGAGGTGTTTGGAAATATTTTTCAAAAAATTAAATTATTAGAGGAGAATCTATTAAGAGCTGAAAGAAGAGTGGAAGAGGATAGTTCGACCGCTTCTCTCAATTCTTGTGATAAGGCTAGGATGCAGTTGAATGAAGAAATAAGGTTGAAGGAAATTTATTGGAGACAGAAAGCTAATGTCAAGTGGGTTTTGGAAGGTGATCGTAATACTAAGTTTTTCCATTCCATTGCAAAGAGTAAAGCTGTTCGGAATAAAATTAGAAGAATTAAAGATGAGGATGGTAGGTGGAGAGAGGGTGATCAAGCTATTTCTGATGTTACAGTTAAGTTTTTTTCTAACCTTTACACGTCTGAAAAGCATGATATTAATGGTGTCCTGATGGATTTGATTCCTTCTTTGGTGACTCAGTCTGACAATGAGTTGTTAACAGTTAAGGTAGATGAAGAGGAACTGAAGGGTGTGGTGTTTGACATGTCTTCTGAAAGTGGTCCAGGTCGAGATGGTTTCTCTGGAAAATTTTATAAGGTTGCATGGGAGATAATTCGCAAGGATTTATTACTGGCTTGTAACTTCTTTTTATCTGGTGGTGCTGTTCCAAGACCTGCAAATGCCACTTTAATGGTTTTGATTCTGAAAGTAGCTAATCCATCTTCTTTTGCAAAATTCAGAACTATTAGTCTTTGTAATTTCATGTACAAAGTCTTTTCTAAAATTTTGTCTAAGAGGCTTGGGAGAATCCTACCTAAGCTCATTTCAGCTGAACAACATGGGTTTGTAGAGGGAAGGAGTATTGGAGATTGTATTGCAATTGGTCAATTGATGGTGGGGAGTTGGACGGAAAAGTGTTTGGTGGAAATTTGATAATGAAGGTGGATATGATGAAAGCATATGACTGAGTAGAATGAGATTTTCTAAAATGTACTTTGCTGAAGTTTGGTTTTTCTCACCAATTTGTTTGAATTATTATGAATTGTTTAAGTAATCAGCATATTTCGGTGGCTATAAATGGTCAACGGTATGGTTTTTGTCCTAGAGGACTCATACAAGGAGATCCTATCTCTACTAGTTTGTTTATAATTGTGGAAGAGGTTCTTAGTAGAGGTTTAAAAGCTATTTTCCACCACAAATTAGTAAGTTATTTTCATGCAGGTAGGGGTATGATTCCAGTAAGTCATCTTCTGTTTGCGGATGATGCGCTATTGCACTTGAGAGGAGATAAGAGATCTCTAATTAGTTTAATGAAGTTTATTGGAGAGTATGAGAGTTCTTCTGGACAAAAGGTGAATAGGCAGAAAAGTGGAATGTATGTTTCTACGAAGGCTTCTATTGCTAAGCAACGTATGCTTTCAGCTATTACTCAAATTCCTATCAGGACAGGTCCCATTCAGTATCTGGGTTGTCCATTAATCAAGGGATGCACCAGACTAATTTATTTTGAAGAGGTCATAATTAAGTTTCGAAGGAAATTAGAAGGGTGGTATTCTCAACTGTTGTCGAAAATGGGTAGAGTTGTGTGGATTAAATCGGTTTTATCTGTTATTCCAATACATCTTCTTGCTATTATGAAGGTGCCTAACGGGTTGATTCTTAAGCTTCAGCCGATAATTGAAGCTTTTTTTTGGGCAGACAAAGAAGAAAGAAGGAAAAGGCATTGGTGTTCTATTCAGAAATTAATGCTTCCTTGTGATGAAGGGGGATTGGGAATTTGTAGCTTTGAGGATGTTTCAAAAGCCTTTTGTTTAAAACAAGTGTGGAATATTCTTAAGGGTGATTCATTATGGGCAAAGATTTTTTCTTCAAAATTTCTTAAAAATTCTCATTTGTTGAGTAGAGACAATGGTGCAAGATCTCCAATATATAATAGATTGGCTTCTTGGTTTAGACATGTGGTGGAAACTTCTAATATGCTTGTGGGCATGGGTGATCAAATGGATTTTTGGTGTGATAACTGGACTGGAACAGGTCCTTTGATTATGAAAACTGAAATAGTTCCAACATATTTTCCTAAGCTTTTGGAAGTATTGGTTGATTCTCAATGGCATATGGAGACGTTAGAAGTAGATGTTGAGGAGCATATTTATGAGGAGGTTTTCAATTCAGGAGTTGTATTGTCTCAACATAAGGATAGACTAATATGGCAGTGTACTTCTACTGGAGATTTTTCTTTGAAAACGGCCTGGGAAAGAGTACGTATACGAAAACAGAAGGATGAGGTTGCTGCTATGATATGGACACAATGTCTCCCTCCTAGTTCACAGCTCAATCTTTGGAAAATTAATAAAAGAATTATGCCTACAGATGAGAGAGTTCAAATCATAGGTATTATGCTGCCTAGTAGATGCTCTTTCTGTTTATTAAATTTTGAATATTTGCGACATATTCTTATTAACTGTCCCTTTGCAAAACGAATATGAGGAGGTATCTCTGCTAGTTTGGGTGTTTTGTTCTTATTGATGGGGAGTCTCCTATTGTTCGTTTTTATGCGACTATGTTTGGCTTTTAAGAGGAACTCGGTGGGCAATGGTTTGAATAAAGGTGCTTCAGCTATTGTTTATTGGGAGCTTTGGAAAGAGCGTTGTAGAAGGATTTATGAGGGGTTGAGAATAACTCCTAATATGGTCATACAGAAGGCGAAAAAATGGTTGGGACATTATGCAAGGATCATTAAGCCGAAAGTTAAGGGGAGTTTACAGGAGCAAGTAACTCTCCGATGCCTTAATGCTAGTATTAAGCCTGTGTTGATGGAGAAATGGGTGAGATGGGATCTGCCTAATGATGGGAGTTAAAGTTGAATGTGGATGGAGCTTGCAAGGGGAATCCGGGAATTTCGGGAGGAGGGATGGTTTTTAGGAATCAATGGGGATAAGTGGTGTTAGCTAGGTCCAATTTGCCATATCAAGGTAGGAGATTAGTCATACAAGATCAGCTCCAACTGAAGATTTTACGGAAGAAAATGACCTTTCAATCAGTCGGAGGATAGCAGTTGAATACCTTTTCATTAGCGATTTGAGCAAGTGCCATTCAGTTGCAAGGCAGTTGGTGCTTCAGCTGGTTTTTATCTTCAAAGGACTCCAACATCTCCAAAGCTGAAGTCTATCTGTTACTGTTCATGGAAGTGGTACTATTCACGGTACTGTTTACGGTACTATTCAGCCACTTAAGCTTTAAGAATTTATTTCTTTAGCTTTATTTTTAAATGCATTATGATGTAATTGCATGCATTTTTATTTATTTATTTAGTTTTATTCATAATGTATTTAGATGCATATCGAGGTAACATACATATGTCTCCCTCGCTAGGTGTAATTTATTTTCAAAATCAATAAAATTCTCTCGTATTGTTGAGGTTACACAAAAAAAAACGTCAACTACAATGATTCAGAATGATTAGATTAGAATTTTAGGGGATAAAATAAAAAAACTAAATATTTTTCGGACAAAAATGACAAAATTTGATAGTTTAGAGGACAAAAGTGTGATTAATAAATGATGCCAATAGATCGATCCTAAGCGCGAAGGGTTAATATTATGTTTTTATCCCCTAACTATCACAAAATTCTTTTACTGTAGTAAAAAATATTCAATATTTTTAAATAGTCTCATTTTTAAGGACCAAATTAATTAAATTTTTATGGGACGAAATTACAACCATTAACCTTTACAAATGTTGTAATTAACTATTGTTGAATGTTATAATATTTATATATTTATGGTTTGTCCAAATGTTTTGGTTTTTTTTTTTGGACTGAAACTAAATTGATAAAAGTTAGAGAATAAAAGTGTTACTAACAACAAATAAATAAATTAGGACTGACCACTATTTTGTTCCCGCTTGTAATGCGGTAGAAAAAAGTTGTAAACACTCAGGAAAAAATTATAATGAATAAAAATAAATAAATAAATTACGATCGACCGTACTACTTCGTGGCTGCTTGTAGTTTTATAAACAAATAGGTGTAAGGAATAAGAAAAAAGTTGTAACGAATAACAAATAAATAAATTACGACTCAATAAATACAATTTTATCCTTTAAATTTCACAAAAATTTTCAATTAAGATACAAATATTTTCAATTATAAAATAAAATTATTAAAATTTTACAGGGTTA